GCTGTTTTCAGGACTATAGCTGTGTAATAGAGCTTGAAGTCAGGGATGGAAAACCAAACAGCTCATCTAATACATGTACCATACTTGGTTCAGAGTACTAATGAACTCAATAATGTTCTCAGTTTCTACAAACCTTTACAATAAAAAAAGCAAACAGAGCCCTGGATTTTAAAGTAATTAAAGCCTTTCTGAGAAAGAAAAAGAAAGAAAGAAAGAAAGAAAGAAAAGAAAAGAAAGAAAGAAAGAAAGAAAGAAAGAAAGAAAGGAGGAAGGAAGGAAGGAAGGAAGGAAGGAAGGAAGGAAGGAAGGAAGGAAGGGCTGTGGCCTATCATATTCAATGCATTCTTAGGCCCATACTGAGACTTTTAAAGTATACCATAGTATATAGTATAGTAAGAATCTGAATATAGTAAGAATACTGCTAACTTTACCAATACTTCTAAATTAATAATACAGCAAAAATTACATTCATTATTTGAATGACTTTTTATTGCGAAGAGCAGAATTTCTTTTCATGTGTGATAGTTCAAAATATGTGTATTATAATTAAAACTGTCCAGTATCACAATAATTTTAAACAGTAAAAATCATTATCTTTTTAATCACAAAGACCAATAAATAACAAAACAGCCATTGTAAGAATTAAGTATGAGCCAAGATTTCCACCTGAATAAGTAGTTCTTTAGGCTCAGAGAAGGAATCAGGTTTGGTAGCTTATCTCAGACACACAATACTTCTTTGAAAAATGAAGATACTGTGGTTAAAATTTTTGTTTAAAAAAAGAAAAAGAAACTTACATAGGAAGATATAAGCACTTTAATTAGAAGATCTAAATTTCAGAAAATTCAGTAGTGGTTATGTTTATCATCTCAATTCTGGCCCACATTAGAAATCTCAGAGAGCTTTGAAAACATAAAGAGCCTTACCTTCTAGAAGTATAAATTAACTGGTTTCAATGAGATGTGGCATATCTATCTTTAAAGCTCTTCTGGGAGCAAAGACTGAGAACCACACATATACATCTACTACAAATAGTTATGAACAATTAACTTTAAATAGTTACAATTATCATAATCCAAGTTACAGGACGTTAAAAAGACAGAAAAAAATATACCAAGAACAAGAATATACTTTTTTTGGTATTGTTAAATAATGCAGAGGTTTCACAAATGTGTATTAAGATGTGTGCAACACAGCTCTTGCCCAAGACACTTAAGCCTTACAGAAAGATCTGAGAAGCCAGAGTGATGATAAAGCACAGTGAACTACAGTAAGATGTCATCAGAGGATATAAATGAAGTATTCTGAGATTTACAAGTCAGAAAAGGTTTTATATAGAAATGTTTCAAGTCAAAAGCTCTGAAATGAGAAAAAATACATAATATTTTCTGTCACTGATTAGAAAAAGTATACAGGAAATGACACACAAAGAACAATATTTGAATTCTTTTTTTTTTTAAATAGGTATTTTGGTAATATGACTATTAGGAGTTTGAAATAAAAATCCCCTTAAATTGCAAGACAAAGATTACAGGCAAATGTAAAACCTAAACTAGCATCTACAAGAATAGGAAGACTATCAACAACTTGACCCAACAGTGCTCCTTGGTTCTCTACTAAGAAAGAGATGAAGGACTTTTCTAAGCCATGCCCCATAAAAAGAATAAAAAAAATGACTAAAAAACAGCCTAAAGCACAGAAGGGTGGGAAGCAAGTAAAATTCAAATAGAAAGTTCTTAGATTTAAAAAGAACAGTTTATACCAGCAATGCTTATAGTAAAAAGAAACTTGGAGAGTATACTTCTCTAATTGATTAGACAAAAACATAAATAGTCCAAAATGAATTACATTTTTAAATAAAATTAAATGGCATTAAAATACTAATGAAGCTTTACAAGAAAATAACATTGATATTTAACAATCTTATAATAAAAAGAATATAAATCTATCAAATAGAATTTGCCAGAAATTTAAAACACAAAGTAAAATTCCTCAACTACCAAAACTTAGTCTCAAATTACTTCAAGTATGAATCAGGATTTAAAAGATATTTTCTTTTAGAGTTCTTTTATTTTTTAAATAACTTGCATATGAAGATGCTTATCCAAAGTATAAATTAAACTTTTTCACAGTTATTACCATAAGAGAACTGTCAGGTGATAGGCAGCTTTACAGAAATGTTTACAGTTAAATATCCTTTATATGTATAGGTTCTAAAGAAAATGACAACAGACATCTCAGCAATATGAGACCAGAGCAACATCCGAGTTAGGGCGCCCACTGGTGGGTCACTGCCACTATGACAAAGCCATGGGTTTGACCCCCCAAGAACAAAATAAGGAAAACAAACAAACAAACAAATGTGGAATTGGATTCTGTAGTGCAATAAATCATAAACCTTTGATAAACATCCACCTCTAGTCTTAGAATTTTCCCAGACACTTCTGGATAACTACATTCTTCATCAACATTATTGATCACAAATAAATGTTATGTATCGAATAGAACTGTATGGCCTATGCAGTAAAAACTAGAAGCGGTTTAGAAACTGAATTCAGCAAGCAAGCATTCACTCTTTATTTCTACTTTTCAGCTCTGTGCTAGGCAGACAATACTAATGCCAATATCATGACTTTATCATATGATAAACAAAAAGTGAAACCCAGAACTTCTGTCATTTAAGACCATTTTTGTAAAGAAATGATAAAATCAATTATGCATTAAAAATATCACACAAACTAAAAATGGAAAGGACTTTTAAATTCAGAGGTGAAAAAAATAGAAATGATTTAGTCACTTGGGGTTCCATGTTGGGAAACCCACAGTAGACTTCAAAGGCCCATAAATCATCCAAAATTTTATGTACAGGCATAATTTTAAGGAGAGGGTATTCAACAATAGCTTTTAATAGCCTTTCAAAAAGCTTTGTGACTTAGCCTGTAACCATTTCTGCAACCATCAAAATCTGGACTATGTTCCTAGCATTAGAGTTCCACAGCAATCTGTACACCATCACCATCTCACTGCCAAGCCATGTGCTTAACTCCTCCCCCTGACAAAATACACAGCAGAAACTGTCAGAGCAGAGCGCATCTTTGCTTTGTTCATGACTCAAAAATCTCATAGTTGGTCTGACATTCTTAGTGCTCACTGCCATTTCTTCAATGAATGAATAAATCAATTACTTACTTCAATTTTGCACAAATTCTAAAGTGCTCTCTAAACATGCCATATGCATATATATTCTTAGTTAATGAGAACTCGTAATTCAATTAAAATGAGCTTATTTTGACTCTAACTCTTCTAGAATATATTACATCTCTATTAAACTACAGAGCACATATGTAAGACTGCAATTGTAACCTCTTGTTTCAAGTTCTGAATCAGTCTGCCAGAAGACAAGAACTTCTATAAGAATAGCAACACCTGTTTAGTGTAATAAAATTTTGATGGCTGCAACTGGCCTATAAATAATACAATTTCACATATAAAATATCCACAACTACAATCTTAAAGATATTTTATGTGTAATTTCAAAGTCAAATTAGCTTTGTTTGTTTTTGTGTTAGAGGTACTGAAGATGAAATTCATAGGCTAAGCAACTGCTCTAACCATGAACAATAAACATCTGCAGTCACTACCACCCCTTTTCAGCATGTGTATGTGGGCCAAAGGAGGTCAAGCAAGAGTGTCACTCCTCAGGTACCATCTACTTTGTTTTTTGAGACAACCTCTCATTAGTCTGGAACTTGCTAGGTAGACTAGGCTGGCTGGCCAATGAGTCCCAGGGATTTTCCAGTTTCTGTGTCTATTACCATGACCAAATTTTTAAAATGTGTGTTCTACAGATCTAATTGGGGTCCTCATAGCTCTCTGGAAAGCACTTCTTCAAATGAGTTATCCTCCCAGCCCTGGTTTTTGTTTTTATAAAGGTATTCTCAAAGTAAGAACTCAGGAAGGACAGACTTTTTTCCAATCACTATTTAGAATTCTTTGAAATCTGAGACACAAACTGAAAATCAGAAATGAATTTTAAAAGTATTCAATATAAACCCATTTAAAAGATTTTTATATTTATTTGTGTGTTTGTGCATGTGGCTTATATACGCCATGACAGCATGTGTGGAGATCAAGTCACCAGGCTTGGAGGCAAGCACCTTTACCCATGAGCCATTTTGTGCACCTACAAAAATCATTCTAAATAATTTAAAGCCTTCTAGTATTCAGCTTTTCACCTTGATCTACTATTCTGACATATTTATTTGAATATTTTCAAAATTGTAAGTAGTTTTGTATTTTAAGTTAGCATCTACTAGATGCTAGCAACTACTAGAAATTTTAAGTTAGCATCTCTGTTGAAATATCGCTAGTAATACTTAGTTTTTATTTATTTTGTTAATATAAATAACAATCATAACATTACTAAACAAATCAATCTGGAAGAAAAAATACACATTTCACTTTGAATACATCCACACTTTTAACACTGCACATAAACATTTATCCTTGAAACCTCTCTGGCATTACTTCTAACAGTTTACTTAACAGACATACCGGAAGCTGTGAATGCCCTGAAGCTCCTGCTGCAGAACCTCTTGAGTTGTTGCTATTAAGTCCAATGCTCCAACAAATTCAGAAGTAGATAATAACACCTGCACTGTAGGCTGAGTTTGGTGTACAGTGGCCATTAGCTTCAGTTTATTGTATACTTTAACACAATTATTTCTGGTAAGTGCCAGTCTTAAAATATGTAGTGATCCTTCACACATAACTTTATCAATCTGTGCGATTTTCTGGCGAAGCATTTTTACAGCCTGGGAAGTTTTCTTGAGGTAGTCCTGCAATTCGTGCTGAGAGGTCATTGCATGAAAAAATGCTTCTGACCGTAGAGAGATCTGGTGAGCAATGTTTACTTCCACAATATCCAGATAATGGCTCAGCTTCAAAATAAGAAAAGAATCAGGTATGTTTAAAGTACATCATTCTTGACTATCCAAATACTTTCTGAAAATGGTAAAAAAGTTCTAAAAGTATTAAATCCTATTGTGTGAATTTTTGGATTATGGGATCCTTGGAATCTGGCACATAAAAATAGGAATCAAAAAGTATAGCCCAAAGACAGATAAATGTGAGACCAAAGAATAGAAGTTTACTTGCCTGTTTCTTCCTTTCTAGGCACTGCTACCCTTTAAATACTACCTCCTTCTCCCAATGAACTCAGGGTTTAATGGTAGTTTGAGTTCTAAGATTTCAGAGAAAGTTATCTCCTTGGCCCACAGCAACATTACACATAATTTATCTAACTAGATGGCTAGAGTTTACACTGAGCTTTTCCTTCTGTGTACTATCACACCTATTTCACATGCATGTATGTTTTTTCTAATTGTAACAAACTTCAGCTATAATTAACATTCAAATGAGAAAATGGAGAAGCATTAAATAACTTGAATACAATCATGTGGTTAGCCAAAACTAACATATAAACCTATATATGTCAGACTCAGCTCTTCATACTACACTGTGCTGTTTCAAAATGACACATTGTTGGTTCAGTCACATATTAAATACAACACCATTCATTTTAATGTTTTTACGAGGGTGCTTATATTTCAAAACATATTCTTTTTTCCATTTGTAAGTTTTACTCCAAGTGTCTTGTACTCTTAATAAATGTCTTAAATAACTAGTTCATGTATAACACTCCTAAGGCTACTACTTACTGTTGTATATTTAATATGCTTTCTAAATTTCAGATCTGGAACTCTGAAACTTATTGCCTCTGTCACTATCAGTACAATGCACATCTACTGAACCACAGGGCTGCTTTTTCCTATCTTTCTTCCTAAGAGAATGTTTTTTTTTTTACTACATTTTTCATTTCTCTTGGTTGTTACTTTCAGATTTTATAACCTAGACACTATTTCTGAATCTCAGTGTTAAATTAATGAGCTTCCAGTATCTATGACTTAAATGATTAGAAGGTATTATTTTCAATAATGTCATTTACTTTTAATCTTTTTAACATCTAATGGGTTACAAATTAAGGTATTTTTGTAATTTAATTTTCTTGAGCTCATACCCTTTTTCTTCTCATCTTCAATACAGCTACTCACTTACTGTAAAAGCAACATGACTTCAAACATAGTGAAGCAGATCATATGCTCAAGTGGACTCAAATCTCAGAATGGCAAATGATGAATGGATAACCTGCACTTATGCCTTATATGATGTTGCCAATCTCTGGGCTGTTTTAACAGGTCTATGATTTTAAAGATAAACTAAAACCAAAAGGGAACAAACAAACAAATAAACAAACAAAAAAAACAACTTTGCCAGAAATTAAACAACTTTGTTCCTATGCACAATGTTATTTCCTCCCATCCCTGCAATGCTTAAGATCAAACTTCATATATGCAAGGCTTACTCTACTGCCAAGTCACATATCTAATCCTGATTTTTTTTTTTTAAAGGAAAACCTTAAAACCCTATTTTGTTGGGGAGAGTTGCATATGTCATAGCCTAATGTTGACATCAAAGGAAAATCTATGGGAGTCATTTTTCTCCTTGTGCCATGTGGATCTCAGTGCTCCAATTCAGGTAGTCAGGCTCAGTGTTGCACCTTTGCCTAAGGCATCATCTCACGTAAGGAAACTTCCTTAATGAAGACAAAGTGCAAACTCACCACATCATAGATCAGAACTCTGGGTTACACAAGGAGGAAACAATATTGTTTTAAAGTTAGCAGGGAACTCATTCTACTCCATTACATTAGGAGTTTGGAACTGCTATCTTTTAACTCTTTCATTCCTAGTCTAACAAAGCAGAATGAAAAGGAGCCAGAATGTAAACCTGACTCTGTGACTTAAAAAATCTTTTAATTTCCATCACTTTAGTTACTTTAAATATTCAGGATGAGAAAAGAATTTCCTTTGAATTTTAAAGACTTTTAGAATTCCCATTAATCCACTCTTCTCAAAAGCATAGTACTTTTCATACTTTATTTTCTACTAAACTGATAAGAAAAGAATGTTTAAATTTCTAATTAATGAGAAGGGTGGTTTTTTGTTTTTGTTTTGCTTTTTTAGGTATTATTTTACCAGAGTTTAAGACTCTAAATGTGAAAGTACAGTCTGTGAATAAGGCAGCATGCATCGTAAGCCACTGTGTTTAGTAAGAAATATCCTTACTCAAGGAAAAACTTTTCATAAGTGAGAATTTCTAAGGAAAAATAATTATCTTATTTTCATTTACAGTTATAAGAAAAAGAATACACATGATTTTTCCCCACAGAGTTTTCTCAGGCTCCCTAGTCTGTTCTTCAATTGCTATGGAAAACTGGACCCAGTTCACTGAACAGCCTTCTTGAGAAAGGCTTTGAGAGTCACAAGAGTCACCTGTCACAAGAGTAAAATAAAATGTCCTTAGGAATCAGACAGTTTTAGAGGCTCTAGGCCAAGTGCTGAGAAAAAACAGAGATTAAAGACTTTACTGTCACTCAAGTTTTAGAAGATTCTTGATATGACTAGAGTTCTAAATTAGAAACAATTTTCAAGATGTTTACTCTAAGACATAGTAACACAGTAAAATTTAAAGATTGTTGACTGGTGAAATGAGAAAAGACTAGGCTCTAGAAAGCAAAAGTACATACTGTAAGTAGAAAGCAATAATACACTACACTAGTTGGAGTATTATATTTTAACTAAAACATTTTTGCTTCAAAATAATGATCTTCAATATGAAAATAGCACTTCACAAAGTTGGTTCACTGTGCTTTTAGATCATTGTTACAGAATTAACTAATATGGGATAAATACAAAGCACTTTGTTGACTAGTAAATTCTCTCCACTACAATTCCATCAACTTAGGGCCAGTGAGATGGCAAAATCACCTGCCTCATAAGCCTGGGAACCTGAGTCAAATGCCCAGAACCCACATAAAGGAAGGAGAGAACTGACTCCACAAAGTTGTCCTCTGACCTCTGCACCTACACAGTGCTGCATACCAATCCTACCATACATACCTTATACAAGTAAGTGTTTTTTAAGTAAAATTCCACCAACTTCTACTTTAGCTAAGATGTACTCAGGAGGTTTTTCCTTTTCATAATCATAACTATAGTCCATGGTGTTAAGATGCTATTTACTAATCTATCAGTTCAGTTCAGAGTTAATATAACAATGACTATCAACAAGAATGAACTTAATGGGTAAGAGATGTAGTCAGTGGTAGAGTTGTTAGCATAGTATGGATGAAGCCAAGAAAGAAATGACAGAAAAGGAAGAGGAAAGGGAACAGAAAATAGAGAAAGAAGGGGAACGGGGCTGGGAAGGGAAGAGGAGAGAGAACTTATAAAAAGTAGAGCTTAGTAAGTAAATCTGAACTCTAAAAATAAGTACCAAATAACCAGAATCAAGTTTGCTATATGGAAAGTCAGTGAGAAATTAAATTACCTTTTCTTGAAGCAACTTGGAAGAAGCTGCATCACGATTTCCTTTCCCACCAGCAGTATTAAAATGAGACCATGGTAAAACTGAATTAAAAGTTAAGGAATCGTCCAAGGCAAAATCTGGTTTCATAAAAATCTATCAAAAGAATGTGTTGTCCCCAATTAGTTAAATATCTTCTCTATATCCATTAGCTCTTACAACATTATTAATACCATTAAACAAAATTAACTTGGATCTTAAATATGAGAGGCAAAAGTAAAAATCTCTATCACAAAAACTATTTCTCACCAAGTTCAAATGCTCATAAAAGATAGAAAAATGGGGTTAGGGAGATGGCTCAGCACTTATTGCTCTTGCAGAGAACCTGGGTCTGGTTCCCAGCACACATATGGAAGTTAACAACCATCTATAAGTCCAGTCCAGGGGTCATCTTCTATCTTCTATATGTCATCTTCTGATCGCCACAGTCACCAGGTACACATGTGGTACACATACATAATGCCAGAAAAACACGCAAACACATAACATTAAATAAACAAACCTAAAACACAACAAAACAAAAAGACAGAAAAATGTAGCTGAAATGGTAGTACATGCTTGTAATCCCAGTACTCAAAAAGCTGAGGAAGGAGGACTGCCACAAGTTTGAGATCAGGGGTAAGGCTGGACCTTACTGAGCTCCTATCTATAAAAGTAAGTAAATAAGTTAACAACTGAATTAAAGACAGAAAAATGCTTTTTTCTGTAGCAATATGGATGGCTGTAAGCCTGCATCAGTGAATCTGATCATACAACCCACCAGCTCATATCCTACTTTCTATATTTCCCACTGACACCTTTAAAAATGTTAAGTACCCAAACTCATACTTCTACATTCTCCTGCTAAAAATTCCTCCAGAAATAATGTTCAGAATAAACAAACTAAAATTTAAAACCCAAACCAATTCAGTTATGACAAATGTTTCCATCCCCACTATCCACATCCAGCTAAGCAGTAATTTCCTAAGGATTTCATATGTCTTCTCTTTGTCTTCTCAGCACTAACCAATTTAACTCCTCATTTATCTTGGTTTACAGGAAGTATTTATGGATAGCCCTGTCTAACAGAGAGATAATCTGTATTGTGTGAAAAGTACCAATCTATTAACTCCCCTGTTTATAACTATCAGTGCATTCCTGCCCATGAACTACAGACCAATCAATATACAAGGCATCTAAATTTCATCATTTACAAGGGAAGTAGGGGCAGGCACTTACCAATTCATTACATCTATATTAAAAAAAAAAAAAAACTAGCATGAATGTGATAAGGAAAAACCTAATTAGGGGCAGTAATAAGTTTTCTATCTATGTTTTAATATTATAATCAAAAGAATTAGTTCACCTGTCAGAATGGCTGGAGAGAATGTGGAGAGGAGTGCCAACTCATACAGCCACTTTTGAAATCAGTATGGAGATTCCCCAGGAAAATGGGAATCAGTCTACCACAAGATCCAGCAATTCTACTCTTAGGCTTATACCCAAAAGATGCATATTCATACAATAAGGACATCTGTTCAACTATGTTCATAGCAGCATTATTTGTAATAGCCAGAATCTGGAAGCAACCTAGATGCCCCTCAACAGAAGAATGGATGGAGAAAATGTGGTACATTTACACAATGGAGTACTACTCAGTGGAAAAAAACAATGTGATCTTGAAATTTGCAGGCAAATGTTTGGAACTAGAACAAACCATCCTGAGTGAGATAACCCAGTCACAAAAAGACAAACATAGTATGTACTCACTCATATATGGATTTTAGACATAGAGCAAAGGATTACCAGCCTATAATCCACACTGCCAGAGAAGCTAGGAAACAAGGAGGACCTTGAGAGAGAACATACATGGTTCCCTGGAGAAGGGGAAAGGGACTAGATCTCCTGAGCAAATTGGGAGCATGGGGGAAGGGGAGACAGAGCTAGGAGAGAGAGAAGGGGAGACGAGGAGGAGAGAGGAGTACATGAGAGAGCAGGAAGGTTGAGTCGGGGAGGGGGGGAGATAGAGGAGAGCAAGATAAGACACATCATAATAGAGGGAGCCATTATAGGTTTAAAGAGAAATCAGGCACTAGGGAAATGTCCAGAGATCTACAAGGATGACACCAACTAACTAAGCAATAGTGGAGAGGCTACCTTAAATGCCCTTCTCCAACAATGAGATTGATGAGTACCTTATGTGCCATCCTAGAGCCTTCATCCAGTAGCTGATGGAAACAGGAGACACTCATAGCTAAACACTGAATTGAATCAAGTTACAGAGAGGGAGGAGTGATGAGCAAAGGAGTCAAGACCAGGCTCGTGAAATCCACAGAAACAGCTGACCTAAACAAAAGAGAGCTCATGGACCCCAGAATGACAGCTGGGAAACCAGCATAGGACTGATCCAGATCCCCTGAACATGGGTGTCAGTGAGGAGGCCTTGGCAATCTATGGGGCCTCTGGTAGTAGATCAGTATTCATGCCTAGTACACGAATGGACTTTGGGAGCCCATTCCACATAGAGGGATACTCTCTCAGCCTAGACACAGTGGGAAGGGTCTAGGCCTTGCTCCAAATGATATGACAGACTATGGAAGGCAAGGCCTTCCCTGGGGAGCAGAAAGGGGATGGTATGGGGGTTAGTGGGGGGAGGGGATGGGGGAAGAGGGGAGGGAGAGGGAACTGGAATTGATATGTAAAACAAGCTTGTTTCTAATTTAAATTTTTAAAAATAAAGAAAAAAGAATTCAATAAATATCTATTAACTGTCCATTACGTTAGATATTAATGAGAAGTCGAGATAAATTACTACCCAGATTCTAATCTCAAGGATTATAAATCCAAGGAAGGTGATAGAGTGTATATATAGTTGATGCTGTGTATTCCTATGTTCCATATCAATTAATTCAATCAACTGAGAATTGGAATTGTTCAGAAAAGATCTTCTGTATTAAGCATGCACAGGGCTCCTTTTCCTTGTCAATAACCCTAAACAACAGCTATGTACACACCATTTATATATTAAAAGTAATCTAGGCATGTGTACAGAAAACACACAGGCACCTATGTGCAAATTTCATGCAGGTATATAAGGGATTGGAGCACTGGCACATTTTGGTAGTGGGGAGGAGGGTTCCTAAAGCCTTCTGATGCCAAGCAACAATGTATAAATATCTTGCAAGAAGAGCAATTTTCTTAGGGAACAGGTGCCCTAGTGACTCCTTTTGGCAAAGGAGTAAATTGTGTTCAACTGAAAAGAAAACACATGGAAAATTGCCTTTTAGAAGAAAATTACAAAGGATTTACATACAGGAGTGGGGGGAAAGGTGCCTTCCAGGCAGAAGAAACAATGTAAGTAAAGCAAGGAACCAGCAAAAACTGGAGTGGCTGAAGTTTAAAAGCAAAGTGCAAAGAGCAGCAGTAGAAGTTGCAAGCTGAAGTGAGAGCAGAACATTCAGAGTGCTGAATGACAGCTTGAATTTCATTTTGAAAGAGATAAGAACATTTCCAAAGTTCTCTCCCTTTTCCTGTCTTTCATGCTCCTGTCTCTTTCTCACTCTACTCAGTAACTGTGACAACCCTCCTGAGGGCTAAGGTGTAGCACTAAAATTTAAAAAAATGTTCCTAAGAAGAAAATTGCTCTTAATAACTTGAAGGGTGCTAACAGCCAAGATATTTATGATTTTAAAAGGAGACATAGCTACAATTAGGTGATAAGGAAGAGACTACTAATGCAAAACCAAAATCAAAAAGAATATCATAAATAAACTTCATTTGTAAACTTATTGTCATTTTAAAAACAAGGCTACAAAAGGCTCCAGAGAGGCACTCAAGAGAGCAGCCTTAGTCTCTATGGGTAGGACGAGGAGGAGCTAAGGGAAATGAAGAGAAACAGCACTTGATGATACAAGAGAAGACTCCATAAACCTAGAGGAAAGGGGCCACTATCCAAACACAAGAGGCATTTACAATCTAAACTAGACCTGGCCAGAGAACTTCTCCATGACTAAAATAGGAAGTAAAGAAGCAATGCTAAAAACTGCAAGAAAGAAAGAAAAAAAAAAAAAAAAAGTCACCTTACAAAGGCAGGAATATTTGTCTGCAACCCTAAAAGGCAGGAAAACCTGAATAAGACTTTTTAGGTCCAGGAAGTAAATAACTGCTGACCAAGAGCACTATACCCAGGAAGGTTATCTTCCGGCTTCGATCAATAAATAAGGATACTTCAGACAAACACAAACGAAGGCAATTTATGACAACAAAGCCAGCACAGCACAAGCACTCTTCAAGGAATTCCACACAGGGAAGGTGAGTATCTGAAAGAACCCACTTCCAGGAGGCAGCTCTCTCTCAAAGAAACCACACACTCATGTTCATAGGTGTCCCTCACTTCATTCCCACGCCTCATCCCTTCTCTTAACTTCTTTTGCTTATCATCTATATTAAAAGTATTTTTAATAAGCCCCAAACATACCTAATAAATGCGTGTATTCCCTGAAAGAACACATGAGCAAGAAGAGCTGAGAGGGACTCCGTCAGGTCTAACCCAGTGAACCAGCTAACCCCTAACTAAGAAGGGAGGAAGAGAAGAAACAACCATAATTCAGTCAGATAGGATCTCACAATAAAGTAATAGACAATAACAAGGTTGATTTAAAAAAAAATCTCAATGTACAGAAAAACTGAGACCCACCCAACTAGCAAAGATGCCTAAAAACTGAAAGTCAAAGAGTGTAATTAACCTACCAAGCAGACAAGCAGTGAACAAGCAGGCAAAGCTATTTTTATATTGAGAAAATTGATTTCTAATAAAAACAAATCAACAGAGGCCACTGAAGGGCCCGGAAAGATGTCTCAGCAGTTAAGAGCACTTGCTGCTCTTACAGAGAGGACCGGGGTTCAGTTCCCTTACATTAGGCAACTCACAACTGCCTCCAACTCTAGTCCCAGGTGATCTGATGCCCTCTTCTGACCTCCACAGCTACCTGCACATACATGACACACCAACAAGCAAGTAGAAACACACACACACACACACACACACACACACACACACACTTTTTAAAGAGGACACTGAATAAAGAAAATGATTGACCAAGAAAAACTAACAATTACAACCATTTATGCACCAAATATTGGTGCTCTCAGTATATAAAACAAATACTAACAGATATAAAGATCACTTATGTCCTGACAGTAACAGTGGCAGAGTTCAATAGCTCACTATCATGACTATACAGGTGTCCCAAACTTAAAATCAGCAAAGAAATGTACGTTATACAATAGATTGACTGAATTGAACAAATATCTACAGAACAGTCCAACCAACATAAAGGGAATATACATTCTTCTCAGCAGAGCATGGAACCTAAACTGATCACATCACAGTCAACAAGCACAAGCACACACTAAGAGAATGCCTTGTATATTATCCACTGTGGAATAAAAGTAAAAATCGGCATACCAGAAACTGCAGAAAGATCACCAATACTTGGAGACTAAACAATACACTTATGAAGGACACTGGGTCATTGAAGAAATCACAGAACAGATTTAAAAACCCTAGAAACAAATGAAAAAACAAAACCCTAATTGGGTCTCTGGAATAGATGCAGAAAAGACATCTGACAAAGTTTAGTACACTTTCATGATAAATATACTGGAAAAATTATGCATAGACAGAACATACCTCAAAATAATAAACAGTATACATGGCAAGCCTACAGTCAATGTTATACAACAGGGAAAACAATGAAAGCATTTCCTAAAATCTGAAACCAGATAAAGGTGTCCCCTATCTCTTATTCAATACAGTGCTCAAAGTCTTAGCTACATCCCCAAGACAAAAGACAAAAAAGGAGTCAAACTATGAAAGAAAGATGTCATTGCTATATTCAGATGACAATTCTATATTCAAAAGCCCTTACAGATGCTACCAAAAGCTTTTAGAATAAACACTTTCAATAAAGTTACAGAGTATAAAACTTCAAAATACAAAAACAATAAAAACAAAAAAGTAGCTTTCATAAATATCAATAACAAAATTTCTGAGAAAGAAATTAGGAAAATTAGCTGAGCATGCTGGCACACACCTAATTCCAACACTGGGGAGGCAGAGGCAGGCAGATCTCTGTGAGTTTAAGGCCAGCCTGGTCTACAAAGGAAGTTCCAGGGCAGTCAGGGCTGTTACACAGAGAAACCCTGTCTCAAAAAAACAAACCTACATCATCATCATCATCATCATCATCATAGTAAGAAAATTACACTAATCACAATAGTTCAAAAATATAATTAAGACCCTAGGAATAAATCTAACCAAGAAAGTCAAAGATCTCTTCAATGAAAACTTTAAGGCACTAGAAAAAGAAATTTAAAAGAAACTATGTGAAGAAAATGCCTTCCTTGTTCCTGAACTGGCGATTCACAATTAATATTGTGAAAATGGATATACAATTACAAACAATCTCAGATTCAATGCAATACCCACCAAAATTCCCATCACATTCCTCACAGAACTGGAAGAAAAAAAATGAATTCGTATGGAAACACAAAAAAAAGCACACACAGCCAAACTAACCCTTAGCAGAAAGAATACTTCCAGTAGGCATCAAAATATCTGGGCTCCAATTATACCACAGAGCCATAGTGGCAGACAGCACAGTACTGGCACAAAAACAAACATTTAGTCCATTGAAATAGAATGTAGGACAAAGAAATAAACCCACACAGCTATGACCACCTAATTTCTGACAAAGCCCAGCCCTCAAAAATGTACACTGGAAAAAAGACAACCTATTCAACAAATGGTGTGGGTAAAACTGGATAACCACCTGTAAAAGAATGAAAACAGACCCATATCGCTCACACTAAACAAAAATACTTCAAAGTACATCAACTAATTTAAACCGTGAAATGTTGAAGATGCTGCAGAAAAACAGGGAACACATATCAAGATCTAGACATAGGAAAGAACCTCCTGAACAAACCTCCAATCATATTGGAAAGAACCTCAAGAATTAACAAGTAAGACTACATGAAATTTAAACTGCACAGAAAAAGAAACTACCAGCAGAATAAATAGCATACAGACTGACAGAAAAGCTTTGCCAGCTATACTTTAGACAGGAGATTAATATCTAGAATATATGAACAGCCAAAATTAAATACTAAAGACCAAAATTGCCAATCAACAAATAGAATAATTAGTTGGATAGATGGTTTGAGAGAGGAAAAAAAAAAAAAAAACAGGCAGGCAGACAGCAGACCAACCAGTGTTCAATATCCTTAGCCATCAGGGAAATGTAAATTAAAACTGATTTGAGATCTAACTCACCCAAGTCAGATTTAAGAAAAAAAGACAACAAATGCTGCCAAGGATATGGGAACAAAGAAACTCTTATTCACATGGTAGAAGTATAACCTAGAACAGCCATTAAGGAATAAGTATGGAGTTTTCTCAAAAATAAAAAATATAACTAGCCATATGACCTGCTATAATATTCCTGGGCATATACTCAAAGGACTCAACAGCCTACCACAGAACACTTGCACATCCATGATTACTACTGAATTAGTCACAACAGCAAGGAAATGGAACCAATGTTCCACCAACAGATGAAGGGATAATGAAAATGTGGTATATAATATGTAAACACAAGAGAACTTAACTATAATGAAGAGTGAAATAATGAAATTTTCAGGAAAATAGATAGACCTGGAAAATCTATTAAGCAAAGAAACACAAACTCAGAAATTCTGACAAAAATTGCACACCCTCTCTCATATGCAGATCCTTGCTTAAAATACATATATATCCATACATACACACACACACACACACACACACACACACACACACACACACACACACACGGTGGGAGTATGGGCACAGACTATGAAACTAGAAAGGAGACTGGGGCGGGATGTTAAGGAAGAAGGAAGTAGGGTAGTCAACGGGTCATAAATATAAGAAACGAAAAAAGGGAGCTATGAAGGTACAAGGGGAGTATCAGGGAGATGGGGTAATAAGGGAGGGGAGAATGGACAAAAGCAAATTTTGTTTCAAAATAGCATAACAAATTCTAATACTGTGGATGCTGATTAAATATTTTACCTAAAAAGAGGTAAAATCATTTATCTGAAGATATCTTCAAATTAAAGTAAAATAAAATTACACACACACACACACACACACACACACACACACCCTCAGAAGGGCAAAATAATCTCACTTGTCCAAAAACAGTCAAATGAAAGCTTCTTATAAGACAAAATTGAAGACTTAGATATTAAAAGTGAATTCTGATTTTTAAGCTTCATTACCTTAGGTACTTGTTCCAGATCTGTCCTGGATTTATCTATGAAAAAAAAGTAAAAAGGAAACACAATTTTTCTTATTTGTTTTCATTTTTATATTCATAAATATATTTTGAAAATTTTAATATTACACTGGGTTAACTAGGTAAATAAGTTTTGTCCTTCAAGTATCCCTCAACCTACCTATGATTTCCATTATAGTAGGCCATACAGAACAAGACAAACATTGCAAATAAACTTACCACTTAGCAACCCAACAGCTAAATCCATTTCAAATTTTTCTGATACTCTTCTCATTAAGTTTTTGTAAAATTACATATAGTATGCTATGTGGTTTTAAAAACTACATTAACTTCTAAACTACAAAGGTGGGATTTTGTTGTCATTGTTACTTTTTGTTTTTTTTTTTTTGAGACAAGATCTTGCTTCACTGCCTAAGTTGGCCTGAAACGTATTATGTGTCCCAAGCTACCCTAAAACTCACAATTCTCTTGCCTCACCCTCCTAAGTTCTAGGATTATAATTGTGTCACCACACTCAACTAGAAATATTATTTTTATTTTATTTAAAACATCTACCATTTCATCCTAAATTTCTGTCAAAGGCTGATTTTTGATAGCATATTAGTTCTCTTCTCTGACATTTTAGTTTATGTCACCTACAAATTTATTTACAATAAATTTTGTTTTCATTCTGCCAAGCTAGCCTCCAGTGAGGTATTTCTTTTATCAAACTGGCCTCTCTACATTTGGACCCCACCCCTGCATGTCTCTTCTGTGGTCTGCTTTATAGATGGCCTTGCCTCTCCACAGCTTCAACTTCTTTCCTTAAATGAATTCTTTTATCTCTGCATAAAAATTCACTCAGTTCTATTCCATTTACAAAACAAGAAGATAAAACCTAAGATCAGAAGTGGGTTGAAGCAAGGGAGCTACCTAAGGGGCAAAATGTAAGGAAAATACAGGTGTCCGGCATTATGCAAATACCTCATCAGAGCTCTTCAATCAGTACCTTACCCCAAGTCTTCACATTCATCCCTACTGACAGCCTGCATTTCTTGCCCATGTACACCCTTCTTGTGTAGTACTGAGGTTTCTGCAACCACAATTCTGCTCTAAAAGCTCACACAAAAAAATTATGTCAAATTCTAGGAGACTTCTCAGCATGCAAAGAACATTCTGACTTTGTAAGCTAATCATTCTCACTTATCTAAGACTCTCATAGCTTTTCATTTCTAATGTGGAAATCTCGGTTGACTTTCCTATCTCTCTGACCACTTTTTTTTTTTTAATCTCCTTCAAGAGTACCTCATTTTCTATGTGCCCCTTAAGTGTGACCACACATAGTATTTTATCATCAGTCCTTTCCTTTCACTATTCACACACTATGTGAGTGATCCCACTGACACCCTCAGATCCAACTACCATGTCTCTGTCAATCATATTGTAGTTTCTATGATACCAACCACCATGCCGACATTTCAGCCTGTATTTCTCCTTCCTGAGCTCTAAACTAGAGCCTCCTGCTCTTCCAGAATTCTTCCTGCCTCTCTCCCTGAACTGGACTGCTTATGCAGACAACTGCCCAAGAATGAAATGTATGAGTTATCAGTGAATCATCTTGTTCCACTACCGAACACTGACTAACCATTAAGACCTATGACTAGGTCTTATTTAGCTATCTGTTTTAATTTCTTCTCTATTTCCACTCTAACAGGGGTCATATCACTTCTTACTTTTATTACTGCAATAACCTCCATCTTCTTGTCTCCAGTCTTACCATCATATAATAACTTATTACTGTTTTCATTAGGAAATAGACAATTATGCATCTAACCATGCCTCACTAAAAAAATTTTGTAGTTCTAGATCATCTTTAGAAAGAGTAAAATTCCTGGGCATGACATACAAAATCACTATGACCTGACCCCTTTCCTAGTCCTTTAACTTCATTTCTTACTCCCAGTAGAACCAATATGTAAGATGCTTGCAACTCTCTGAACATTTGTTCTTTCTTGACTCTATGGCTTTGTATACACCATTCGTGTGTGTGTGTGTGTGTGTGTGTGTGTGTGTGTGTGTGTGTGTGTGAGAGAGAGAGAGAGAGAGAGAGAGAGAGAGAGAGAAAGAGAGTGAGTTCATATTCATTCCTAGGAAATATATAAGCCCAACCAAATACATAAATGTATCACACTAGCTAATTTAAAACACAGGCCATAATCATCAACTATGGGACACTTTCTTAAGTTCAGTAAGAAACAGCATATGTGCAATCTTATAAAGCTGAAGTGACTTACATACAGTGCTACAATTATTGGTTTATTTCATTAAATTCCTTAAGAGCTAAAACTATTTCTTACTCTATTTTTAAGTAATAAGCAATGTACCAAGAAATTAAATATTTGTCAAACTAAAGGATTATACTACTATCACAGTCATGATCATTCTCTAAGAAGCTTGTAGAAAAGATTATGGGTTTAGTTTGTTTGTTCTTTTTTGAGACAGGGTTTCTCTGTGTAACAGCTCTGGCTGTCCTCAACTCATTTTGCAGATCAGGTTAGCCTCAAACTCACAGAGATCCACCTGCCTCTGCCTCCAAGTGCTGGGATTAAAGGCAAGATTATAGTTTTAAACTGTAAAGTTATTTATGAGAAATATAAGCTAGGAATACAGCCTAGCATACACAAAGCCTAGGTTTCAATCCCCAGCACCACAAAAATACACAATTTACTAAAAATAAAAACCTTACATATGACAGGAATAAGGTTCTAATGTTAACAATTTATTCATTAATAGTTGAGCTGTGCTTATTATCTATAAATAGCATATATACTTACCATGAATATGTAAAAGAGTCCTGTCAAAGGTATCTTTAGGAGGACAAATATTCTTGCATCTCTCATGGATCTTCTCTCTCTAATAAAAATACAATGAAATAATAATCAATGCTGTGTGGAAATATGATTATTCAAAGCATCAACATGTTTTACAACATAATTAGAATATACCAAATTACTTTGGAAATTTAATATAAAATCACTAGCCTCTGAACTTAAATGCAAATAAAAACTGAACCAAATACCACTATGGAGGGATAGAGACATAGCTCAGTAGTAGGCACTTGCCTAGCTTGTATAAATCAGTGGGTTTTAACCAAGCATCAAAATAATAAATGTTTCTTTTCTTTTTAGGAATGGCATTAAAAAAGACACATGGGAAAGTGGAAGTGGAGACAAGGAAACACTTAGCTTACAGTGTTCAAAGTTCTAGGAGCATTCTGCCAGTTACTTGCAGATTGTTTGGCAAGGTGCCTACACCACTCTGAGAGCATCTACTGCTCCACCATCAGTGAATGAGAGCATCTACTACTCCATATCCGTGCCAACACTGACAAAGTCCGTCAGTTAGATGTCTATCACACTAACAATATACAGTAGCACCTCTTCATTTCAACTTGCAATTTGCAGGTTCTATATAAAAACACTTGTGAATACTTCCCATGAATCAGGTATTATACATATTAAATGTCAGTAATATAGCCACATTTATCCTATTTCCACAGAATCAACAATGTAAACAAATGAAATAAAATCATCTACATTTAAGTTAAACTTATAAATCTAAAATTATTAAAAGCAGTAATTATAAAACACAAATACAGACTGAGCTGGATAATGGCTCATGCCTATAATCCTAGTTACTAAGCAGGCTGAGGTGGAAGGACCCGTTGAGGCCAGTTGGGCAACACAGTGAGGTGAGAGTTGAGCACACACACACACACACACACACACACACACACACACAAACACACACACACACATATAAGGACAGTCAGACTTTGTTAACAGATACGCATTTTCCATCGTGTCATTTGACTTTTTTAAAGACTGAACTGGTAATTGGGATATTAATAATAGTCACTTGCTAAGTTAAAATTGAGTAGCAGGCCATTTCAAACTCAGCATTCAATTTTTACTTTCAGAAAGTACAATTTAAAGAAGCATTCGGAGATGGGCATGGATCAACCTCAGTACTCAGGGTGTACAGGCAGGCAGCACTCTCTGAGTTCATTCTGTGAATTTGAGGTCAGCCAGGGCTACAGAGTGAGAGCCTGTCTGAAAAGAAACAGAAAAAAAAAAAAAAACAAAACAAAGCAACAAAAAAAAAAAAAAAAAAAAAAAAAAAAAACAACAACAACAAAAAAAAACAAGAATGTTGAATTGGACCTTTGTCTGCTCAAGGTGGGATGCTCTGTTGTAGTAAACTGGAGACTTGGGAAAAGTTCTACTCTGGGTTTTTTTGTTGTTTGTTTGTTTGTTTTGTTTTGAGAACTTTATCAGCAAACGATCTCCCAAATGATTTAATCAGAACAATGCATGTTCCTCTTTTCTCTCTGTATGTGTATGTGTATGTGTAGGGGGAGGGGGGTAGATATACTACCAATTTACAACATTTCCTGAATTGCCCCTCTCCTTTTTCTATTTGTATTTATAATAAAGGTCATAAAGAAATAGCTGGAACATTATTTCAAAACCTGTCTCCTGCCAGGTGTGGTAATGTTCTTGGGTAATGTACTTGGTAGGCAAAAGCAGCAGATTTCTGAATTTGAGGTCAGTCTGCTCTATATAGTAAGTTCCAAGCCATCTAGGGCTACAGAGTGAGACCTTGTCTCAAAAAACAAAACATCAGCAACTAAGAGTAGAAAGTGATATTCTCTTTTCACCTCCCCAAATTTTAATATATTTATGCTGATTTTTGTCTTTCTCTTCTAGCTCAACTGTGGTCTTTGAAGTCCACCAAACACTTCCTGTAACTGCAGTCACCTGATGAGGTTAGTCAGAAATGTAGATGCCTAAGCCTGGTGGTATCCCAACCTCAAAAAACACAGTAGCAATAATGTTCTTATGGTCAGAGCCTGCCATGGAAGAGCCTAAGAGTCCCACAACAGAATTCAACACTAGGAGACAGGTGAGTAAAGGGGAAAATGTGTGTTTCCCTTGGCCTCATAGACTCTCTAGAAGCCAATGGAAGGAGGAAATGGATTTGGTCTACAGTAAGCCAAATGTGTGTGTAGTAAGGGATGACAAGCTCTCCCGTAGAGACTCCCCTCTTCTAGCACTAAATTCTGTGACAAATCACAACAAAGCAGACCCAACAATGGAAGATCAGACTTCAGAAAAAAACACCATCACTAGAAAAGGAAGCAGTATAAGCTGAGGCGGGGTAGGATATGTGAAGCTCTTTTTGTCTCAGTAAGCATGCTGGCAAGAGAGGAATCCACTTCTGTGGCAACAGTTTTGTTTTCTTCCATGCCTTCAGGAAGCTCAACTGTGTATCTTTTACAAACTAATTCTAGCTCAATACCAAGTATCTTATTGTTACTGGTATCATATAAATAGCTCTTTGCCCAAGCTTAGATTCAGCCTAGACATACTGAGGTCTTGGCCAGCAGTGGCTTCTGATCAAAGAGCTACTAGGCCTGTCAAACTCATCCAAAGCTTCATCTCCACACTGATCACCTGAAAGGATGAGTAATGCTAGACCACACTGTGTTGCTTGAAACAGAAAGCTTAGGAAATCATTCCCAAGAGAACATAGGTCACCCAGTGGGCAATCCCTATTGTCTCCAAAGTCAACAAATAGAAGGCCAAGGTGTCAAGATACAAACTCTACAGCTGGAATGATTTATACACAAGGATATTGCTACAGCGTCTCCTTCATGACCAGCTAAATCTTCAGGCAGAGTGTTCTCATAATCATAGTCATCTCATAGATAAGCTTATCCAATTTTAGACTGTGGAGCCAACAATTTGGATCCAGACACTGTTAGGATGTTAAAAACAGAAACTTAGACAAGTGGGTAATGAAGTCTCTTTTGACTGGGGATTTCCAAATACAGAAGCCTCTGGACTGGTAGGGGCTCCAGGCTTCAGAAAGCTGTCATTGTTAGGTTTATCTCAGGATCCTCTTTTGGTCTTACAACAGCAACATCACCACTTCCATGTGGGGAAGAACCTCTGGAAGTATGGAACAACTTCTCCAGCTTTACCTGGCTGTCACTTCCTAATCTTTCACACTGACTGGCTGCTTACATTAGACCCTGGTTTTTACAGAATGGACAATTCTCTCCTAAAGCTGTTCATCTTCTGAAACTGTTTGTCTGCTGAAATGGCCTTCTGCCTTCCTGAGATGGCATGAGTCTTGAAAGTAGTAATGTTCCCTCTTAATCCTTTGTCACAGGTAATTTTGGCTTCAGGAGCTTTACAGAGAGAATGAACCATCTTACAGCCTCCCCATGTGATTCTGCCCACAAATTTATGAAGAATTAAGAGCTGTTAAATAGTGGCATGCTCTTTGTTGGGCTCTGACAGATTGTTGCTTTGGCCTTGCACATCTGAACAAGCAAATACTGGTAAGAGGCACTCACTCCACATGAATCCATGTACCTGTCTGTTTACACAGCTGTTTGATACTGGCTCCTGGCCAGGCAAAGATGAGTTTCATGTCTTTGGAGGAACCCCATCTTAATCTTAATATTGTTTTCTCCAATAGTCAGTCTCAGTTCTCTGCTTTTACCTACACAAGCAGTAATAGGTATTAGTGCACTTGTTAGGATTCAAAGGCCTAGGGCCATTTTCTAAACAGGGAACAGCCTTATCCATGAAGCTACTCAGAGGACATGTTCTACTGTACTGGGTTACACCTATTCCTCCAGAGTAAGACATCATGTGCCCTGCCTCTCATCTCACTTGGCTTGCTTTCTACCTCTCATACCCTCCCTAAATCTCAGACATTATCTGAGCTTTATAAAATTCTTAAGAGTCATTTCCCCTTGGCAGGTAGGATAGCGTCCCACTGAATCTTAACAATAATAAAAATTTGTAATCCTGAAAAATCACTACAAAAGAAAGTAAATCTATTAAAATGTACCTAAAGAAACACAACTCAGACAACAGAATTTGTATGCATAAAAACACCATGGCTTCCTCTGGCCAGGCGTTGGTGGCTCACACCTTTAATGCCAGCACTCAGGAGGCAGAAGCAGGCGGATCTCTGTGAGTTCAAGGCCAGCCTGGTCTCCAGAGCTAGTGCCAGAATAGGCTCCAAAGCTACACAGAGAAACCCTGTCTCGAAAAAACAAAACAAAAACAAAAAAACATAAAATAAAATACCATGGCTTCAAAGATTATTGCTCAAAAATCTACATGAATCAAACTAAAAATCTTTCTCTTGCTTTTGACTAGATTACAACTAAATTCAAGATTAGCGGTTACCTGAGAGATTTCCTGTTGATATGCTATAAAATGTTCCTTGCTGATCTGTGGGAGGTAGAATGAAGGTATGACTTCAGTGTCCACAAAGTCCAATCCCCATGTTTTTGTGAAGAAGTCAGATTCTCTTTTTGCTAATGTAGGATCATTTAATGCTGCTGGGAGGTTTACTTTGGAATGATATACAGTCCATCTATGTTGATCTGTAACTAGAGATGGGGCAACACATAAACTATTTGAATCACCTGCAAAAGTAAACAAGAGATCTTTGTAAAGTTGGCTCTATGCTTGTGAGTAGATCCTAGAAAAATAAAAATAAGACTATAGCTTACAGTCTATTTTACAGGCAACCAAACTCTTTCTCCATGGTAAATTATTACTAAAAGTCACCCTGGTTAAATAATCCTCGTCATCCAGCATCAATTATCAAAGGAATAAGAAACATAAAAAACATGCAGAACTTGAGGATTACAAAGTCCCAAACGTGAACCATAAGCAAAATCCTTTCATTAATTAATTTCTTTAATTACATTTTCTCTCTTTTCCAAAACTAAAAATACCTCAGTTTTTCTTTTAAAGATGGGCTTTTTCCCCCCCCTATTATATTATGACAGGCACTAATCATTTAAATGCCCTTTGTTTGGCTTATATTCAGGTGACAAAATGCTGCTACAGCATTAATCATAAAGGAAAAAACAATATACAATAATTCTCATTATTTACAGATCTGTTATATAAAGTCCTGTGAACACCTAACTGAGGGACTGTTCCTCGGGTTACAACATTTTCATCATTCAGTAAATATGTATGCTTATGTTTATGTTTAAAGACACTTATTTATTACCCATCAGTCATTAGGTTTCGTGACTGTCAACATTATACACAGTGCTTGCATGAAGCTTGCTACATGTTTTCTCCATAAAGCAACACAACTTTTCTGTGTTTAGTTATACTAGACAGCATCTCAGTACTATGTTACAGATCATTTTGAACAGCAACATCTCAGCAAAAAACAAAAAAAGCAAAATGCAGAAGGTGAAATAGGCTGCATAAAGAATCCTTGCTGCCAGGAGCTGAAACATGAAAGCTGAGCACACACAGGTGGGAACACCTGTGTTAGGCAACTCAACTGTTTTCACTGCTCTGCACACGTCCACAAATACCACCAAAGTATAACAAACACTTAATACTGGCGTCAAAATACATTTGAGGGAGCATGAATATTTGTGAATACAAAATCTGCAAATAACAAAGACTAATTATACTACATTTTAACTAAATAGCTTTCAATCTACACCTCCATTTTTAATAACTTTCCAGTTAACTCCTTTAATGGAAATGTGTGAAAAACTATATTCTAATTTCCCAATCAACTACATAGTTTGGGTGTTTTAGTATTATAAATTTACTCTTTTGAGGCTACGTATATGAAATATGACTACACTTGTAATGGTAACACGAATCAGAAAAATCCTCAAAAAAAAAAAAAAAATTACCTGTGGGTTCCTTAGGACACACATCTGGCAGTGACTGCACAGGTCGAATGTGTTTTGCTGGATCTACCTCTTTTTTAAAGAAAACGTCACTGCTGCTTCCTTGAGGCACTGGAGAAGATCTGTGGCTTGAAGCCATTGCATAAAATCACCACTCAACTAAAAATAAGAAACAAATAATAATTAAAACAATACAAACAAAATCTGTCTAAAGACATAATACACATCACAGTCTTTCAAAACCAGCAGCATTTTTTTCAAAAGCCCCGGCAAGTGTAAGTACATAATTTGAGTATCTGTGGTTAATTATGGAAGTTGTTGTTCAAAACATTTAGCTTGCTGAGAAACTTATTTTTTCATTGTTTGAAAAAAAAATCCCACAGGTGAACATTTCTTAGTCTTTTATTAAAAGTATAAATACATAATAATCTGTAACCCAAACATTAAAGATGAGACATACCATTCATTCAGCAAGACCACAATAAAGACACACCACCAAAATGGCTAGAGTGCATAAGTTTTAAGTCTATTTTTCGGGATTGAGATCTCCACTCACCAACAGTATAACCATATGAAATTGCTTAACCTTTCCTCATCTGTAAAATAGGTGAAAAAGACCACATCGAAAATATATCTGAAAAATTATAAGCATATATACGTGTAAAGTTTAATGCTATCTTAATGTTAATGTTCACAGAGTAGCTATTATAATTATATAATATTCACATATATATATATATAACTGAAATGCAGTTATTATCATAATATCACCAGAAAAAACTATTGCTTAGAACCAAAGAACAAGTATTATTTGATTGTTTTTTCATAAAATGTTTAGAGATTATCTAATTTAAGTTGTCCTATACTAGATATAAATATAACAAGGCCTCCAAAATGTAAAACTAAATTAAGTAAAATATAATAAGTATTATATATTCTTTTGTTTTTCCATATGATTTAGAATTTTCAAAAAGTCTGAGGGAAGGAAACTACATATCTGAAAAATATTAATTAGTATAAAATGTAAACATCCAGAAAAAAAAAAAAAAAACACTGTTTTGGACCATTATTTAATCTACCTCAAGATGGCATTATTGTATAACTTCAAATATGGAAAAAACCTATCAAAAGGTTTCAAAGTTTATGTGGCAGAAGAATCTTACCATATACACTAACTGGAATTCCCTAAAAGATGAATGAGGAGACAGCTACAATTTATTATGAACATCACATCACCTAGATAGCATGTAAAAATTCTTTCTACACTGTTGTAGTTACTGCCTAGAGAAAGTATAAATATTACAAAATATTTATAATCAACTCTAAATTAGCCATTCAATTGCCTATTATACATAAGCTAATAGAAAAGGCCCATTTTATTTCTCTTGCCTACTAATTTGGATCTACACAAAACATCTTATCAGAGCAGCTAAAATGCAGCTATATACTATTTAGGTTAGCATACAAAATAATGGGCTTCATTACAGCATTTTTCATACATATGCGACACTAAACTTTGTTCTAATTTATCATCCTCCATCCTATGGGGCAAAGATACCAATTTAATTTCCTTTCTCCTATTCATCATGTGATACTTTACTGTACAATCTAAAATTGCCTGTCCTCTGTCATTCTACATACTTCTAACTGGTCTCTGCTTCCAGTCTAAACTACTATGCTATCGTTTTAGGATTAATCTACTAAGAAGTTTCCATCATACTATACTTCATTTCAAAAACTTTTAAAAATTACCTTCCACAGAAATCCCAAATTTCATTAAGTGATACTAAAGATATTTACAATCTAATATTGACTTGTCTTCTATTTTTATAGTCTATTCCTTATTTCCTGTGAATAAACTCTTCCAAAATGAGTGGCCTAATTGTCCTTTAGGATGCTTTCCAGGCTACTTCATCTTTGGGAAGGCTATGCCCTTCTAAAACATTCATACCATCTTCTCCTCTTTCTCCCTTAAAAGGTTCAAGTTTCATTTCTCGATTACATGCCCAAAGAAAACAAATATATACACATTTGATAATGTGAATAAAAATAATTCTAACACTGGCCTATAATCTTAGCTATCAGGTGTCAACTCCAAAAGAAATTCAGGGCAAATGGCTGTCTGTGACCTATCAGCACACCAAAGCACATGCTGGCCTCCAGGCTCCCTCAGTATCACAAGCACCTGTTACACATTTCACAGTCCATGCTGGCATCCTGGCTCTTCTCACCCCGGCCCTACCCTTAACTTCTCCAGCTCATGGGCACCCTCCCCCAGCTTCCCAGTCCCTCATATCCCTGCTATTTTTTTTTCCCCAGCTATGCACTCTTGCCCCTCACTCTTGGTCGTCTTTTTCTCTTCCTCTCTCATTCTCCCCATCTCTCCTCTCATGGCCATGCCCAGTCTGGCCATGTTCAATCTACTGCTTTCCTTCCCTGTTCTGGACTCCCCCAGATGCCTCTGGGTATATTCTTTCTTTACCTACAATAAAAACTTTTCATTCAACCATACCTCAGAGTGGTCATGTTCTCAGTCCATACACTAGGGAGGATAAGACAGGAGGACTGAACTTCAAGGCCCACTTATGCTACAGAGTGAGTTCAAGACCATACCCTGGTCCAAAAATAAAAAGTAAAAAAGGTGGAAGTATTCTGGTTTGCTTTCCATTGCTGTGATAAAGACTGTAACCAAAGTCAACTTGGGAGGAAAGGATTTATTTAGCTCGTATATCTCAAGCATAGTCCATTATTGAGGGAACATGAGGCAGGAAGTGGAACAGAGATCCTGACTTATTCCCCATGGCTTGATTAGGTTTTTTGTTTGTTTGTTTGTTTGTTTTTAAATAACGGAGCACCATCTACCCAGGAGTAGCACGGCCCACTCCTGGCTGAACCCTCCCATACTACAGGCTTGCCTGCAGACCAATCTGATAAAGGTATTTTATAAATTGAGGTTTCCTTTTTCTCAGATGATCTTAGCTTATGTACAGTAGACAGAAAACTAGCCAGCACAAGTGGTACAGGACATGACCAGCATGCATGGAGACCTTGGGTTCAATCTCTAGTATTGTAAATTCAATAATAATCCCAGTATTTTTAAAAGAAAACAAAAAGCCAAACCACAGCACAAAGGTTCTCATTTCATGACCACAAAAAGAAGAGGGGGAGTGTTGGAAAGCAATGATAAACCTGGAAAAGGGGAAGGAGAGAGAGAGAATATGTAGATCAAAAACCCAGAGACTATGATGCACATGCCCCAACTGGAGATCAAGACAGGACTAAGCAACGACCCAGCAAACTGACCTAGAAGACGTAGTTATTTCACATCCTACTCCTGGATCAAATGTTTTTGTCTTGGGGAGTTAGGAAAGAGATCAGCTGAGACAAAAACTAGATTGCTTCACTCCCATAACTAGTTCTAAGGGCTTTCTGAAATCTCACATCAAAAAGAAAGTGAGGTATGTCTTATTAATGAATAAAACAAAGATGTCATGAAGGAAGCAATACAAAAACAGAAAGAAAAAACAAAAACCTCGCCATCATCAGTATTTTAGTAAACACTATGTTTTTAGTAAACACAATTATTTTGCTGATCTTCAAAACAATCTCATAAATGCATTTATGATTTCCATTATATAGTAAAAGAAATAGGTTCAGAAGTAACTTGGTTTCAAAATATTTAGGTAAGTAATGATGACTATGGTATTCAAATTCAAACTTTTTGGTCTAAATTCCATGTTTCTGTTTGTATGCCATACAGTCTCTTTAGTTAAAAAAAAAAAAAAATTTCCCCTTCCAATTTTTATTTATGCCATCTTTTTTTTGGGGGGGGTAGAACAGTCTCACACCCAGGTTGTCCATGAACACTTTTAACATAAGCTGGCCTAGAACTTACCGTCTGCCTGCCTCAGTCTCCCTAGCACCTGGAACATGGGCATAGCCACACCTGGCTATGTCTATGTTAAGTGACAGAAATAATTCAAATCTAATATTGAAAAGAATTCTATAAGACTAGGACTAGACTCTTCCTTAAGGGTAATAACAGTGCTTTCATCAGTGTAATGTACTGTATTCTTAGCAAAGCAGCAATAGCTCGCTCCAACCAGGAAAACAAGTTATGATGAGCAAACATTCTACTACCTTCATCAAGAAATGTGTTCTAGAGCCACACAATGGTGGCACACGACTTTAATCCCAGCACTGGGAGGCAGAGGCAGGCGGATTCGAGACCAGCCTGGTCTAGAAGCTACACAGAGAAACCCTGTCTCAAAAAACCAAAACAAAAAAAGAAATGTGTTCTGAATTTGACTTATACAATGATCTTTCATAACATACCTATTTGTAATTGATAA